TATAAATAAAAGTCAACAACGGTCAACGTGTTGCAAATGAAAGTCAATACCGGTCAACGCGTTACAAATGAAAGTCAATGCCGGACAACGCGTTGTAATGAAGGTCGACATCAGTCAACGTGTCGATAATTTCATCGAAATAAGGCTTAAGATTACCCCCAAAAGTTCAATTATGATTCATATATGAATTCTCGACGAAGATGATCAAGTCCAACGTTGATTCAACGACACGAGCTAAATTCAGAAACTAATACACCAGCTTCATTTCAAGGTTTCGATAATGATCAGATGATAAATGCAGCACCGGGAGAATTTTAGCTATACGACAAAATACTGAATAGACTAAAAGCCGAAGAAGTCAAGAATCGAAGCCATTTACAGGTCCTTCTACGTGATCTCTTCGACAAAATACTAAAGAGGTTGAAGGCTAGGCTAATCATCCAAAGTATTCCAGGCTCTTCTATAAAAGAACGAGACTAAAACACTTTGGATGGGGTATCTGTAGGTATCAAAAATTACCTATAGGTTTCCGCACGCAGCTCGAGATGAAGAGCAGATGATGAATGTCATTATCCGAGTCAAAGAGGATATCTAATGTTGTAGAGAATCTAACAAGCGCATGAAGCCAGTCGGTGAACTGTACGAGTTAACGTAACACACGAAATGGCAAAACAACAAAGAAATAACTCATCCAGGAGCTATGTTTCACCCACAAGGGGCGAAACACCATGTGTGTCTGACACACACCATGTGTGTCTCGCCCACACCATATGTGTCTTTCCTATAGGAAGTTGTATGTCTCTTCGCCAGCTTTCCAACACATCTTGAATCAACTCATTCCGAAATCGGACGAGGGAGTTAGAGCCAAAATACCCGAGATAGTCCAGATTGTTTCGCACCTATGAGACACCAATGGTGTCTCACACTTTTAGGTCATGATATGATTTGATTCCGAAGAAGCTCAAAAGATAAAAGTTATAGGTCTCTTCTCTAGCTTTCTAACGCATCTTGAATCACCTCATTCCAAGGTTGGACGAGAGAATTAAAGCCAAAATACCTAAGATTGTCCAAGCTGTTTTGCCCAAATAGGCAAAACACACATCGTATTTCACCCCATGGGCGAAACACACATTGGGTGAAACACACATCGTGTTTCACCCCTGGTAAGGCTGTTTCACCCGTTCAGCCTCCTAACGATGCATTTCTCGATAGATTTGTAGATTTCATTCATCCCAGAGCCTCTCCAACTGACTTGAGGCTATCCTTAAACGTGAGAGAGTGGTTATTAACTAAAGATATACTCTTATCCACGAACACGGTGTCCGAAGCCCTATAAATACCCCCTTCATCATTTTGTGAAGGGGGCTGATGGGTAACTATTCAAGGGATCTAGAATTTTGGAGCTTGGAGGCAAGGTACTGACTCTGAGAGAGCTAAGCCACGAATTTCAGAGAGGAGGAGGAGATCTTGGTGAGTTCTTCAGCATAAAGAGGAGGAGTTTGGCAGATCTGTACCCTTTTAGCATCCCTACATCAGTTCCTTAATATCAAACTTCGTTTTGATCTTGAGAAGAGTATTTATCTCACCATATTGGGATATTTACTTCAGTTCTTGGTTTCCTTTGTGAAACAAGAACATCAAGCCTTCTTTCCCATCAACCCGATATGATTTTTAGCGGTCCACGGCCTAACGCGTCTCCGACACAGGCAAAAATCTCACACAAGCAGCGGGTGATAAACATTCTCTATGTGTGTTTCTAGGAAGTTGTAATTTTCTTTGTTTTATTTGTGTAAGAGAAGTCCTATAAAAAGACTCACTCTTTTGAACTTGTTTTAAAACGATAAACGTTGTAATAAGTTCCGTAATAAAACCAACTTTCGACGTAAACAAACATGATGACATATTTTCTGGCTTTAATTGCATCTTAGTTCCATGAACTGAAGATACTAGAAGACAATGATTGAGAGAGTAGAGATTGGTGGATGTTGCCTTAAGGTATTACTTACCCTCTATTGTGTTTTCCATATCATGTATGAGGTGATTAGTGCCATTCTTATGACGAGCTGCAAAGATATTGCCGCATAACATACATTTGGTCTTTTGATTGAGAAGTTTACTATGTTCCTAGTGACATCTATCTTCTCAAAGAAATTCCATATATCAGATCTCGACCTTTTAGGAACTCTACGTGTTGGATCACCACCGGACTCAGGATCACTGTCGGTAGTAGGAGTAGCTGTAAGACTCATTTCAGGAGTTAGATTTTTCCCTTCATAACTGGAGGACGAAGCTATTGGAATTAGAGAATTAGAAAGTATTAGAAAGTATAAGAGGAGAATGAGAGAGTATAGTACTGTATTAGAGAGAATAAAAGAGTATTAGAGAGAAGTAGATGAGTTATTTATAAGAAAAATAAATCAAAAACCCTCTATTTATAGAGGCAACCCCCTAACCCAATTATCAAAATACAAATTTTTATCACTTTTTACCTTTTTTAGGGTATTTGGGTATTTTTATCATTATAGGCTATTTACACTGCCTGTATAGGGCCAGGGTCAGGCCAAACCTGGTCCAACAGCTAGAAAACTAGACATTGGACCAGGGCGAATCTAGATCGCCTAGTCCAACAACTACTTTTTTAGCCATTGGACTGGGTCTAAATACATGTTTGCTATATCCACTCCCAAACAGTAACTTTGGGAGTTGGATTGCCGAAAATACCCTTTTGGACTTGGCCTGGTTTGGTTTGGGAGAAGGGAAATTTAGTCCTCACACACCCCCAAAGTTACTGTTTGGGAGTGTGAATAGTTGGACCCGTCTAAATATGGGCCGGGCCGAACCGGGCTTCGGAGCTTGACTAGTTCCAATGGCTAATTAGGGAGCCATTACCAGCTCCCTAGTTTGGTTCGGGTTCGGGCCAAACTGAGAACTTTGGCCCAACATTGTGGAAGCCGAGCTGGCCAGGCCCGGGACGGGCTTTGCTGAACCAACCGAACATGGGCCCGAAGCTCGGACAGGTTTGATTTTCTAGGTTTTTCTTGGGTCCGAGTCAGACAAACAGTAACTTTGGGAGTTGGATTGCCGAAAATACCCTTTTGGACTTGGCCTGGTTTGGTTTGGGAGAAGGGAAATTTAGTCCTCACACACCCCCAAAGTTACTGTTTGGGAGTGTGAATAGTTGGACCCGTCTAAATATGGGCCGGGCCGAACCGGGCTTCGGAGCTTGACTAGTTCCAATGGCTAATTAGGGAGCCATTACCAGCTCCCTAGTTTGGTTCGGGTTCGGGCCAAACTGAGAACTTTGGCCCAACATTGTGGAAGCCGAGCTGGCCAGGCCCGGGACGGGCTTTGCTGAACCAACCGAACATGGGCCCGAAGCTCGGACAGGTTTGATTTTCTAGGTTTTTCTTGGGTCCGAGTCAGACATTGGGCCAGCTTTGGACCGCATGCCCAGTGGGACAACCTTGTTTAAGACCATAAATCTTTAATATTTTAAGATCATTTATTTAATCATCGACGTTGCTATCTAAGTCCCTACAAATCCTTTATGTTAGTTTAAAACTAGCCTTTCAAATCATTGATGTTGCTAAGCTCTCTAATTCTCGTAAACTATTTCAAGTTAATCATGAGAACTACAAGACTTAGGCTTGGTTTGGTACGAGGGAAGGTAGAGTAAAATAAAGGATAATAAGGAAACATCCTCTTTGGTAGGAGGCATTTTCAAGGGAATTTAATGTAGAGTTTGGTAAGGGAAGTAGAAAAAAAAGCTGAAAATGAACTGGGTTTTAAGAGAGAGAAACATCCCTTTGAATCGGAGAGACACGGAGGGATTGAGTACATTAACATTATAAGTACACTTTTATCCTCCCAAAATATTTCATAATTACATAATTAAATATATTATCTTCATCAAAACCCTAAATTTAATCCCCCAAATATTTATATCTTTGGGATTAGATCCCGAAATTTATGAACTTTGAAATTGGCCTCCTATTTTTTTTTCAAAATTTAAAATTATTAGTTCTGGAAATCTTTACATAAATTTGAAGAAGTCCTACCAATCTTTGTATTTTGAAATTAGTCCCCTAAGTCTTTATTCTTTGTTTCTTTTATTTATTTTCTCTTTGTTTTAATAAATGAAATACAATCTTATTAATATGATTTTAGAAATATTCTAACAAAAGATTATTATTGTACTTTAACTGACTTATTTTCTTACTTCTACTTTCCATCATCTCTACCAAATAAAAAAAAAATTCATACCTCCCCTCAATCTCCCTCCAACCAAACAAGAAGCTTAAAATGTATATACCTCTTTGTATCTATCTCGTTGCACTTTATTTCACCTTAATTTCTTTCTCATACCCCGATCAAAACAAGCTTTTATGACAATGTCAACGATTTGAAGGACTAATTTTTAAATTATTTAAGATTTGGAAAAAAAAACCTAATGGCAGTCAATCTCGAGATTTGAAGGACGGACTTTCAAAATATTAAAATATTTGAGAGATTAATATCAAAAAACCTTTTTGTATGAAATAAATAGGAAATACATTATGGAACTTGGATTCTTAACCTCCTTAAGATAAAAATTTTGGCTCCACCTACAGATATTAAGTGCAAATTCATGTGAAGTATTAGGGGTGTCCCATTATTTAGACGTGGAATTTACCCTTTCCAAGTAAAATCCCAAAAATCCGTTATCGGGTTTACCAATTCGGGCACAACTAAAACGTAACCCGACCCGCTAAAGTGGTCCGTTAAGACGTGGCACGCGTACCACGCCCTTTAGTAGTTACCCACTGGCCCCCACCCGAAACATAGGACGAGGGGTATTCTCGTAATTCTTCCATATCATAACAAAATAAACACACCCCATCTTGTCTCATTCTCGGTCGCAATTCCTAATACTTAGCCTCCATTGAGGGCGTGAATTTTAATAAAACGAGGTGTATGTATCAGAATCCTTTTATATTAAAACCCAATTTTGTTTTAAAAAATCAATAGAAAACTATTCTTCTCTGTTTCTTCATTATACTTGAACTCCTCGTTCTTCTTCTTCAGTTTCCAACACTGAATTGGCTGCTTCGATCTCTTCGCCGAATTACTCAATGGCGAATCACGAAGAGACCCTTCAAAAGTTCCACCTTTTAATGAAATTTTAAGCAATGGGTTCTCTGGTTTTACGGAAGAAAGAAACTCGAAGCTCATTCGGTAAGAAAAAAGTTCGAATTTTTTTTATAATAATTCGTTTAGTAAAATTTAGTAAGGGTTCAATCTTTGCAATTGAAATTGTGAAATTTTTAATGGGCGAGCAGTTTGATGAGTAGTGTAACTGACTGAATAGTTGTAGTATTATAATAAAATCCATTATTGATTTTTGGAGTATTTTTTTTTTATCTTCTAAGATTTTTCTCGTATAAATTATAGAATTATATATTATTTTATCTGGGTTATAGCAGACACATGATGGATTCTCGCTAATTTTAATAATTGTTAATAATTAGATATTTGGTTTGATATTGTGATAATGGTGACCGCTATATATTGACCCGTGACTTAAGAAATAAGGGGCAAATGATTGGAACTCATTTTCCTGATATTTAAAAAAAAAAATTAAATAAATACATAAGGTTGTATTGATACCAACTTTTTTTCTTTTTGGCATGAGTCTGAAGCACAAATTGGTGCTATGTAGATTATTGATGACAACATGCGTGAAAAAAAAAAAATCCAAAAGTCCAAAGTCTTTGTAAGCCATGAGATATTACTGTGACTAGGATAGTGAAATTTGAACTTAATGAATTTTTTTCCCCCCGCAATTTGATTTGTCATCTAATATCATTTTATAAGATGATTTGTATTAGCTGCTGAGCTTTTATGTATGTTATTGGGAATGTATAAACTGACTAAAAATATCAGCGTTAACAAATACTTATCTAATAATACGTACAAAAACTATGTTGTTTTACTCTCTGTCTCTTCCCCTGTTTCCTGTGATGTCATACATGATTACAACTTAAATGGATTGAGCTTAGCTCAGAGCCTGTAAGATGATGTGACACGACTCTATGAGATAGCTGGTTCTCTTTGTAGATTCTGATGTTCTTTGAGTATTAAATTGTGTTTTGGAAGTTTCTTGATTTTTCATATAAAGAATTGATAATGATAATAATGAATATTTGTTTACGAAGCCAGTTGGCCGAGCTCAATTCATTGCGGAGGCCTTTTGCAGAGTGGATGCTTTTTGACCAAAGTCTTCTCTTGTTTTGGTATTTTCCTTGTATTGCTTCCTTGGATTTATTACAATCAAGTTTGTGTAAGATTATATAATAGGATAGAAGTCAGCCACCCTGATGCGAGATTATTTGAGAATAAGATTTTAGAGATATTCCACTCTTTTTCTCAAAAAAGTTGAATTTCCTCGACTTATTTTCACTTGGTATCATTTGCATTTTCTCAGTCACCTTTGATATCTAACTATTTTTTTTTTCTCTCTGCTATTTTAGGACTACAGATACCTGAAACTATGGAGGAAATCAAACTCTCTTTTCACTTCTTTGCTATCTTCCTCCTATGCATTTTCCAGCCGTCGAGCTCCCAAACAGCGGAAACTCAAGCTCTTCTGGATTTCAGAAAGCAGTTAAAAGATCCTATGAACTATCTTGAAAGCTGGAACGAATCTCTATCACCCTGCCAATTTGTCGGAATTACTTGCGACTTCAAATCTGGCAATGTCATTGGGATTGCACTCGTAAACATGTCTCTTTCTGGGCAGATTTCGCCTTCAATTTCTGCGCTTCGAAGCCTCAGCTCACTTGAGCTCCAAACAAACACTTTATCAGGCAAAATTCCTCCTGAATTAAATGATTGCACCAATCTTCAAACTCTCAATCTCTCAGCCAACAGTTTCACCGGAGAATTGCCAGATCTTTCATCTCTGCAGAAGCTACAGCTGCTCGATTTTTCAATGAATCAACTTTCTGGTAATTTTCCATTATGGGTTGGAAATATTTCAGGTCTTGTTCAGTTATGTCTTGCTGAGAATAATTTTGAACATGGAAAACTACCGCCGAGCATTGGAAATTTAAAGAATTTAACCTTGCTTTACTTGGCAAAGTGCAATCTGATCGGAGAGATCCCAGATTCAATCTTTGGGTTGGTATGGCTTCGTACATTGGACTTATCCATGAATCAAGTCTCAGGGAAGTTGTCAAAAGAGATCTCGAATTTGCACAACCTTTATAAGATTGAGCTATACCAAAACAATTTAAGTGGAGAAATCCCTCCTGAGCTCGCAAACCTCTCCGGTTTAAATGAATTCGATATATCTCACAATAACATGGGTGGAACACTCCCACCTGAGATTGGTAATCTGAATTTTACATATTTTCAGATATACCGAAACAATTTCCATGGAGAATTGCCAAAAGGGTTTGGGAACATGCGGTTCCTAAAGGGATTCTCAATTTATGAGAACAATTTTTCTGGGAATTTCCCGGCATCTCTTGGTCGCTTCTCACCTCTCGACACATTTGATATATCGGAAAATAACTTCTCAGGCAAATTCCCAAGATTTTTATGTCAGAACAACAAGCTAGTATACTTGCTTGCTTTGGACAATAATTTTTCAGGAGAATTTCCTGATTCTTATTCAAGTTGCAAGTCCCTGCTGAGATTCAGGATTAGCCAGAATAAGTTCACTGGGAAAATTCCAGATGGATTATGGGGATTGCCCTACGCAGTAGTCATCGATGTGGCTGATAATGGTTTTATTGGTGGGATTTCTTCGGATATTGGGGTCTCGACGAGTTTAACTCAGCTATACGTGCACAACAACAAATTTTCAGGCGAATTGCCCCCGGAGATTGGGAAACTCTATCAACTTCAGAAGTTATTTGCTCATAATAATTCCTTTTCGGGGAGATTACCATCTCAAATTGGCGACTTAGATCTTTTAACATCTTTGCATTTGGAAATCAATTCCTTTGCCGGTTCACTACCATCAGAACTCGTTTATTGCAGCAGATTGGTAGACTTGGACCTCGCGAAAAATTCATTGGACGGCGTAATCCCAGAAAAAATATCCCTTCTAACTTCCCTCAATTCGCTGAACCTATCAAACAACATGCTTGTCGGTTCAATCCCCGTGGGGCTACAATCGCTGAAGCTCAGTTCTCTTGATCTATCCAAGAACCAGTTGTCAGGAGAAATCCCACCGGAGCTTTTAATGATAGCAGGGGAAGAAGCGTTCTCAAGCAACGCAGGTTTATGCGTCGATGGAAATTCCGGGAACAATTCGGGCCTCCGCATAGGCTATTGCTCTTTGAGCCCGAGGCACAAAAGTATTTACGTAAGAGGCATGCTCGTTGTGTTGATAATAATGTCGGTCTTGTTCGTGCTTTTATCCGCGCTTGCCATTATTGCGAGCTACAAGAGCGTTAAGAAGATTGACCCTGAGAAGGGCAACGTTGATCCGAGTACGGAGCTGGAGCTTTTTCATCCTGCAGACCTCGACGCAGAGGAGATATGCAACCTGCGGGCGGAGGATCTGATCGGGAGCGGAGGCACGGGCAAGGTCTTCAGGCTGGATTTAAATAAAAACAGGGGTACTTTCGCTGTCAAGCAACTCTGGAAAGGGGAGGGGGCGAAGGTGGTAACGGCGGAGATCGGCATACTGGGGAAAATAAGGCACAGGAACATACTGAAGCTGTATGCTCGCGCGACGAGAGGGGGATGCAGCTACCTCGTCTTCGAGTACATGCCCAACGGGAATCTACACCAAGCTCTTCGTCGAGGAGTCAAGGGCGGGAAGCTCGAGCTCGACTGGGGTAAGAGGTATAACATTGCCGTAGGAGCGGCGAAGGGTATCACGTACCTTCACCATGATTGCTCACCGGCTATTCTCCATAGAGATATTAAATCCACCAACATATTGCTGGACGAGGAGTGCGAAGCGAAGATTGCGGATTTTGGGATTGCGAAGGTTGCGGAGGAGTCGGATAACAGTTGTTTCGCTGGCACCCACGGTTATATGGCTCCTGGTGAGTACAATAGCTCCCTTTAGCTTTCAGAATAATCCTGACTACCTGAATTACTTTGATCTCATTTATAAATAAAGCCTTCGCATTTCACATGGGAACAGTCATAATTGTGAACTTTGATATAAGAGGTCACGAGTTTAAAATCCTTAATATCTTAAAATTAGTTCTTTAAATCCTTGATATTTTAAAATTAGTCCTCAAATAATTGAAATTGCTACTGAATCCCCAAATATTGTTGATTGTTTTAAAGTAGTCCTTATGTTAGAATTTCCTTCCAGTGTGCTAACCTAGTTGGGTTAGTCATTAATCTAATGGTGAACCAACTTAATAAACAGAGAAAAATGGTTGACCAAAAATTTATCTTTTATTAGTTTCATGAGAGGTAGTTTCATACATATTTATATTCTCCTCATGACTAAATTTGTGTCGGTTCTCTACATATTTATATTCTCCTCTTTTTTTCCCCTCTTCTCAATTGTTTGCCCCTTGCCAGTGTCAGTAATTGTCGGTGTCTTTTTCCCCTCGTATATATATATGTATATTTCCTAACATTATTTGTTTTAATGTGAATTCAGAACTTGCATATTCTCTCAAAGTAACCGAAAAGAGCGACGTTTACAGTTTCGGAGTTGTTCTTCTAGAACTTCTCACCGGCCTTAGCCCAACCGGTCCACACTTCGATGAAGGGAAGGACATTGTCTATTGGGTTTCAACTCATCTTGACAACATACAGAAAATTAGAGATATTTTCGACCCAAGAATTTCTGGCTCTTATGCAGATGATATGATCAAAGTCTTGAGGGTTGCGATTCTATGCACTGCCAATTTGCCCGCCGTTCGTCCTTCAATGAGGGAGGTTGTCAAAATGCTTATTGATGCCAACCCTTATGTGGGAGTCAAGAGAGGGAAAGTTTTTGCTAAGAACTGCTAGGTTTTTCATGTAGTTGTGTTTATGGAAACTTGGGGACTTGTTGGTGATTGTAGATATTTTATTAGGTTTGGGAAGGCTAGAAAATGATGTGGGTCTGTTCTGAACTTAGGACTTATGTGCTTAGATAATTCAGTGCAGTTCTGTTCCTCTCTGTGTACATTTAAGTACTTGTTTTCAGTTCAGAAAGAACCTGGAATATTTGCATTTTTGATGTGTGTTTCTTTTGGAGATGTATTGCTTGTTTTCCCTCTTGATTATAAACTTCAACGAGGAGACATTCTTGTTGAAATAGGTGTAGATCAAACTCACCTCCGGCGACGAAGAGCTCCGGCAAGCTTTCGAGCAGGCGAGCTCGATTTGGCGATCTCCAGGCGACTTCGAACAGGTGAGTTGAGGAGATCAGACGCAAACTTCGGGCGAACGCAGACCTCGAACTCTGCGTTCGAACCTCCCCCTTTGTTGTGCGTTCGACCCCCCTTCATCTCTGCGTTCGTCGACCTCAGCGTTCTTCGTTCGACCTCTGCGTTCGGCTCAGATTTTGGCGTCGAAGCGAACGCTGGCGACAGGCTGTCGCCAGCTCTCCACATCCGCCTATAAAGCCCCCCCTTTGGCCCTAGGGTTTCGTGGCTGATCTTTTTCCCCCTCCTCCGATTTTTCTTCTGGCGGCGACCAAGAACGCAGCTGCGTTCCCATCTCCAGCGCTCAATTGATTTTGAGGGAAGATTAAGAAAAAGATTTAAGGAGAGAGAGGAATATAAAAAGGGGTTTTTATAGTGGGTTATTCATTTGTTCTCAAGTGAAAATTGAAAGGGTTCATACCCTTTGATTATTAACACTGTAGCTACAGTGTTTATCTGAGAAATCTCAGTTTTGAGATACGCTCCTAAATTGTAATTTCTTGTTTAATTAATAAGAAATTATCTGTGTGGCTCCCGAGGACGTAGGCAGTTGCCGAACCTCGTTAAATCTTGGTGTACTTTTTCTATACTGCGTTTCTGTTGCATTAGGGGTTTAGGCGTTAAATTCCTAACTGGTATCAGAGCGTGAAACGATCTAGAACAAGTCAGATTCAAGTGGGAGCCATGGCCACAGATGAGGCAAAAATGAGACTTGAGAAATTTGATGGAACAGATTTCGGATTCTGGAAAATGCAGATAGAGGATTATCTGTATCAGAAAAATCTGTATCAACCACTATCGGGGAAGAAGCCAGATTCCATGAAGGCAGATGAGTGGAACCTTCTAGATAGACAAGCCCTCGGAGTTATCAGATTGACGTTGACTCGCAATGTTGCGTTCAACATAGCGAAGGAGAAGACCACGGCGGGTCTTATGGCAGCTCTCTCAAATATGTATGAGAAGCCATCAGCCGCAAATAAAGTTCATTTAATGCGGCGGTTATTCAATCTGAAAATGGCGGAAGGCGCGTCAGTAGCACAACACCTCAATGAACTTAATACGGTTACAACCCAATTGAGTTCAGTTGAGATTGAGTTTGATGAAGAAGTTCGGGCGTTGATATTGTTGTCTTCCCTACCAGAGAGTTGGAACGCTACAGTCACAGCTGTGAGTAGCTCGTCGGGAAACAGTAAGTTGAAGTTCGACGACGTTCGTGATTTGGTTCTCAGTGAGGAGATCCGACGGAGAGAAACGGGTGAAGCTACAACCTCTTCAGTATTGCATACAGAGTCAAGAGGTAGAAATTCAACCAGAGGAAACGGACGAGGAAAATCAAACTTCAGAGGTAGATCAAAGGACAGGAGGTCCAAATCAAGGAATCCAAGCAACAGCTCGAAGGCTATCGAGTGTTGGAATTGTGGAAAGACCGGGCATTACAAGAATCAGTGCAAGAGTGCACAGAAAGAGAAGGAGGCAAAGGCAGAGGTGAATGTCACATCCACTTCAGGAGGAGACGACGCATTGATATGCTCTTTGGAGAGCAAGGAGGAATCTTGGGTGTTAGATTCAGGAGCGTCGTTCCACGCTACTTCTCAGAAAGAATTCTTCGAGAAGTATACCCCCGGAAAACTTGGATACGTATATCTTGGTGATGATCAACCGTGTGCTATAGTGGGCAAAGGCGTGGTGAAAATTAAGTTGAACGGGTCAGTATGGGAGCTGAAGGATGTCAGGCATATTCCCGACCTGAGAAAGAATTTGAAAAGAAGAAGAACCTGGTGTGCAGACTCAAGAAGAGCTTGTATGGCCTGAAACAAGCCCCAAGGCAGTGGTACAGAAAGTTTGACGGCTTTATGCACAAGGAAGGTTTCCAGAAGTGCAACGCCGACCACTGTTGCTACTTCAAAAGATATCAGTCCAGCTATATCATCCTACTGCTGTATGTTGATGATATGTTGGTTGCAGGAGCAGATATGAAAGATATCAAGAGTTTGAAGCAGCAGCTGTCAAAGGAGTTTGACATGAAGGACTTGGGTCCAGCGAAGAAGATTCTTGGAATGCAAATCACGAGAGATAAGAAGAGAGGTCTCTTGCAGTTATCTCAGACGGAGTACATCAACCGTGTTTTGCAGAGATTTAACATGGGCAACGCCAAGCCTGTGAGCACACCCTTGGCCAGCCATTTTCGTTTATCGAATGATCAGTCTCCTCAGTCAGAAGAAGAGAAAGAGAGTATGGCTAAGGTTCCTTACGCCTCGGCTATCGGAAGTTTGATGTACGCAATGGTCTGTACGAGACCAGACATTGGCCATGCAGTGGGAGTGGTCAGCCGGTTTATGTCGAATCCAGGAAAAGCTCATTGGGAAGCGGTCAAGTGGATTCTGAGATATCTACGAGGCACCACACAGAAGTGTTTGCACTTTGGTAAGGGAGAGGTGGAAGTGCAAGGGTACGTAGATGCAGACTTCGGCGGTGAAGTTGATCATCGAAGAAGCACCACCGGCTATGTATTCACCGTCGGAACTACAGCTGTTAGTTGGATGTCACAGGTACAGAAGATCGTTACCCTATCCACTACAGAAGCTGAGTATGTTGCAGTGACTGAAGCCAGTAAAGAGATGATATGGCTTCAGGGTTTGTTGACAGAGCTGGGATTCAAACAGGAGAAGAATGTTTTGCACAGTGATAGCCAGAGTGCGATACACTTGGCGAAAAATTCAGCATTTCATTCTAGAACGAAGCATATTGCGCTTCGGTATCACTTCATCAGATCCCTGTTGGAAGATGACGTGTTAAAACTGGAAAAGATTCCAGGGAGTAAGAATCCGGCAGATATGTTAACAAAGACGGTGACTGTTCAGAAACTGGAGTTGTGCGCAACTTCAGTTGCCCTTCATGCATAGATGATGAGGGCGGAGCCACACAGGAGAGGAGCTTAATGAGATAGCCCGTTGGCGTCGGTTTGGTCTCCAAGTGGGAGATTGTTAATTTGGGGGTGGATACCAACCTCTGCACCGGCGAGGAGCTCCGACGAGCTCGATGTCGACGAGGCGAAGCCACAGGTGAGGTCCAGGCTATCTTCGGCAGCGCCCCCCCGAGCTCTGCGTTCGAGCTCGAGCCCCACGTGCGAGCGCCTCCACCCAACTCTGCGTTCGAACGCAACCCTGCGTTTGGCGATGGCGTCCTTTGCGTTCGAGCGCTCCCACCTCTGCGTTCGGCCTCGAATTTGGCGTCGAAGCAGTCGCTGGCGACAGGCTGTCGCCAGCCCTCCACCTCCGCCTATAAAAGAGACCCCATGCCCTAGGGTTTAGCTGCTGAAGAACTTCCCCCTCTCCTCCGATTTCTCCTTCTCTGGTGGCGGCGGCTGCCCTAAAATCGCAGAGGCGATTTTTCTCCAGCTCTCAACGCGATTTTGAGAGAGAGAGAGGGGATTTAAAAGGAGAGAGAGAGAGAATTAAAGAGGGTTTAATTGTGGGGTATCATTTATTCTCAAGTTGAGAATTGAAAGGGGTTCATACCCTTTGATTATTAACACTGTAGCTACAGTGTTTATCAGAGAAATCTCAGTTTTGAGATACGCTCCTAAATTGTAATTTCTTGTTTAATTAATAAGAAATTATCTGTGTGGCTCCCGAGGACGTAGGCAGTTGCCGAACCTCGTTAAATCTTGGTGTACTTTTCTATACTGCGTTTCCGTTGCAATTAGGGGTTTAGGCGTTATATTCCTAACAATTCTTGGTGGTGGATGGTGTTTGAGATGTGGAAACGCATGTGAGACTATTCATCATGCGCTGATGTCCATATGCGAGAAGGATTTGGGCCCAGTTGGATGGAGTTGGACGAGAACATTCGATGTAGTGCCGTACGGTGCGACAATGGGGACTTCCTAATATAGTCCAGGCTCATGGACAACCTTATTGACCTATGCTATCCACACTCGTGCGTGGCTTGTGTGTGGGTGTGGCAGCAACACTTGTACCCAAGGGGACAGGTGTCGCTGCTAAACACGGAAGAGACTCTTAACACTCCTACTCAAGCTGAGTATATATATTATACATGTGCAGCTTGTCACAAATAAAGTTCACTCTTGCTCTCCTAAGAGGTTTTGTAAGAATACTACAAGCTGATGATCTAAAGGGAAATGTTTGCCTCTAATGATCCCCTTCTTCATCTTCTCATGAATCAAGTAGCAATCAATCTTTGTGTTCTGTTTTCTCATGAAACACCGGATTCACAGTTGTGTGAATGAAAGCCTTGTTTTCTCCATGCAAACTCCTTGGACATTTACGAGGAAAACTAATTTCTGTCAATAGATCTTTAACTCAGATAACTCACAAGTTAAATTCAACATGGCTTAATACTCAGACTTAGCTAGAAGTTGCATTACTTCTTGCTCTTCCAGTAAACTAGTTTTCCTTTAAGAAACACACAATATCCTTGGTCGATCTTCTGTCTACCAAAGATCCCGCCCAATCTGCATTTAAGAAACTTGCAACTCTTGTGTGTTCTCTATCTGAATAGAGAACTCCTTTGCCTAGACTTTTTTTTAAGATATTTAAGAATCCTCTTCACAGCCTCCATGTGGGATATCCTATGTGTTGATAGAAAGTGACTAGCTATACTAATAGAAAATGTAATTTCTGGTCTAGTAATAGTCAAGTAGTACAGTTTTTCTACTAATTTCCCACATTTCTTAATATCTTTTAATGGCTCCCCCTAATCTAGTAGAAGTTTGATCTTTTCATCCATAAGTGAGTCAATGCCCTAAAATTCTAACATCGTAGCATTTGTCAACATGTCAAGCACATATTTTCTTT